TATTAGTAACATCACAATTTCCGAAAAATGACACCCACGGGTATTTTGCTGCGACAATTTTGAAATTTTCTCGGAAAAGTACACGAGACATTTCATTTAGAGGATGTCTAATTATTCTGGTTTTGTTTCTCACGGCATGCAACCAGATCAACGTGTGTTGCATATTTTTCTCCAAACTACCCCTGCCATGAGAAAGAAACCAGGTGTGCTTCCAGGGTAGAGAGCAGTAACCACCATTCCTATAAATATCAGCTTGGTCCAGAAAGAGACCTCTGTACAGCTAGCTATGTGAGAGACACTAAAATCGCTGGAATCAGCTACTCCCATCTATACTTTTTAAGTTGAAACTCCTAATAAAAAACTTGGTCATCACAAGGATGATGTTTTTTTTAAATTAATATATTGCATGGGTCTGTCGCGTCATGATTTGCTTCAGTTACGTGTACACGTGCCCCGAGGTTGAAAATGTACAGGATATTTTAATGGAACATTGACGTCTTTGTTTTGTCATACACTATGTCTTGACATATTGATAATAATGCACGTCCTAAGTAGTCTCTAGCAATATATGTGCATATCTACCGGTAAATTCATTTTTTCGAATATTGTTTAAAATATCTGTCAAGAAAAGCACTATTTTAAAAATAAACTAGACATTTATTGGCGTATATATGCCTGCACTTATTATCAATGCGGTTTTGATGTGGAGGTGGAGAGATTGGATAGTTTGGGTCCTTAAACCATTTTGAATATTACTGGATGGCATAGGACACAGCTGCATGTTAAATAGCTATTAGATATAAAAGCTCTTGTCAGTGCGACTTCTTGAAATCAAAATATATGTGAAATCCAAACATAAATTGTGAGCATTTCTATTTTTATCACTACCTGAATGGGGCTTTTTAATGAAAGATTTCACTGCTCAGATACTTGAATGCCAACTTTTGATGAAAACGTGAAATGTAGTATTAAAGAACTAGGGTGATTAGAATGTCATTATAGAATTAAATCAAAACCCAACTTCCATTAAGGCCACTGTAACAACAATATAAGTGAACCCTTACAAAATGTACAGGATGCTTTTTATATATTTGTCTTTGTAATGGGGTTTCCTACCAATAAATTATTTGAATAGACTTTTAAATGCTTCCTGGCTTGCATTTGTACTTGAGGTTCATAAAAATGCCACTCACCATCCAATAAATTTAACATAAAAACATGAACTGTGAAAGAATAAACACAATGCTAAATTTTCTTTACTTTAATAAAATATCACATGTAACTACATTGAGACGTTACTGAAGCCATTTACAAGGTAAACAGATCTCTAACCTGCATAATTCCCCCATTTCCCCTTCAACTGAAATTCATATATATTGCACTTACAGCAAAAATTTTCACAACTAGTGATAATAAAAAGCAAGCCCTAATATTGTTACATTTACAAAATATGCATCTTATCTATACACCTATAATGACTTATTAACCCAATAAAGCTTTACTGCCTTTCATGTTGACCATTTTTAATTTACAAAGACAGAATAAAAATGGTAACTACAGAACTCTTAATATTTCAGGTAAATCATACTAGTAATAGAGGTAATTATAAGGACAAACTGCAATCACCCACTTCAACATGGCTCAGTAAAGTATATCTGAATTGTTTGATTGAATTTCACCATTATTTCTTGGCAGATTTGACCAGGACCCAGTTACATGAAAAACCCAGTTGAATGTAGGCCTTGTCTTTTAGATTGTACCTGTATGTTGTGGTTCACTTTGATCCATAAAGCTGCACTAGTTTACTTAAATAAGTAGCTTTGGCTCTAAAAAAAGTCCATTCTAAAAGATGATTTTTTACTTTCTGTAAGACCAGTTCTAGTTTAAGTGAACTTGCATCAATTTTATCTTTGATCAAAGTAGACTAAATCTTTCAGTCCTAACTTTTGGAATAACTCTCCACTTATATTCTTTTGTAAAACCACTCCAGCACCAGCTATGGATAGTCTGGCCACATTTCCAGACCAATAACATCAAACAAAATCAACAAAGGTTTTTGTTTTGACCATAAGAAAAAAATGCCTCATATGCTAATGTGAATAGTCAGACAGTCCAGACCAAAGTGATCCTCCACTGTCCAGTGAGAAACCCAGTGCAGTGACTAAGGTTCAGAGCAATAGGTGAAGTCAGATAGCCAAGGTTCAGTGAACATGCAAACATGACTGACCACTATCAAAAAATATGTACCTGATAAAGCTAATAACCAGACAGTAAGTCTAGTGTTATACTCTTCATGTGGTATACCGCTAGCGTGCAGTTATCAACCAAAAATGTGAAGATATTTAAAATATACATAGAATTTTAAAGTTGGGACAAATATCCCATCCCATCCCTACACTGTTTTCTACAAAGAGCAGGTATCACTGCAGAATGAAATATCCATTTTCATCCAAATACGCCAGTCAGTATGCCAGAATCTTACATAATTCACACCTTGGACCAATTGAAGGTCAAATAAAATATTCCACTATCTAGCAGAAAAATAAAACACTCAACATTAATACTGTTGATGGCAGATGCTTTGATAAAAAATCTTGGTGTTTTCAGCGATTATGCCTTTAAGGTATATATTTCAGCTTCACCTTACATAACACTACATACAAATTCACTGCCATCTCATTGTGATATCACATTTCAATAAGTGAAAGCATTTTTACAACTTATTCTGTGCACATGTTGTAAACATGAAATACCTTTCATGAAAAACCAGTTTCCGCTGTTCTTTCCTATCAATATGAACCTTTTTAATAACATTAACAACAGGCAAAAATCTGAAAAAATAAAAACCATAGAATATTTACCCCCGCTAAGGTGGTTATGTTTTCACCCCCTGTTTGTCTGTCTGTCATCAACATAACTCAAAAAGTTATGGACCAATTTTGATGAAATTTTCAGGGTAGGTCAGAAGTGGGCCAAGGAAGTAATTATTAGTTTTTGGTGGTGATCCAGATCAATAATCAATCAATAATATTCAATAATCGCTGCCTTGGTGGAGGTCTGCGCTCTCAGAGTGCTTTTCTAGTTTGTCATAAAATTACCACCCTTTCCTTTAAACTGATAGACTAGTTAAAGAGATTCACCAGCATGGCAATACCAAGAGAAACTGCTACATCATCTGCTTAATCAAAACTAATATTGGGTCTCACTTTGGATATCAGACACAAGATTGCAGCGGTTACCACATATTATTACCATGATATAATACATTCCCTTTTAGATGTGTTAAGTGGTTCGAAGAGGGGGGGGGGGGACAATCAATTTTCATAAGAATTAACACCCAAAATTTGATGTTACTTTGCATAAACCTCACTAAGCAAATCAACTTGAAGTCAAAATAAATTTAGTGCCTATATAAAAAAGCTGTCATTTAAATGCTTTGATGTTTCAGCAGCTTCAAATATAAAAGAGTATATTTGCACATCACTGTACACAAATTCTCCTTTTCCATAAACATCAGTAATTTAAACAACAATATAATAGTAATAACAAAAAAAAAAACAAAACAGTACTTATAAAATATGTGATACTTTACAATTTTAATTTGTATATTTAACACATAGCAAAGAGCAAATCAGAGAAAGAAACCATTTTGTTCAAAAATAAAAACAAACCAGTTGTCAGGACAAATACACAGAACAAAAGAACTTGTGTACAACATTTTGATGAAATTCAGGATTCTCTAAAATCTATATTTTCATGTACATTTACCTTTCTGTGATTGAAGGTTTGATGTGTTTGCAAAAAGAAAATTGTTTGAATTGGCACTGTTTATTCAAAGCGAATTCCTATTTGGCCATTTCTTATTAACTAATGTGTGATCATATTAGGACAATATAATTTTTCAAATACTCAATTATAATTTATTTGAATCCAGCTTAACACCCTATTTCAAAGTAGACAGCTATGTCTGAATATGCACATTATTACTATCAGCTGTCCATGAATACCCCAACACACGAGGAACATTGAGGTAGCATAATCATCCAATAACAACGGTTGTTCCCTATGTTATTGCATCAATACTCAACATATTCAACAGATTTAATATTTTTGTTTGTGGATGGTGATATGAACTTTTGTATTAATATTGATACATGAATATATGTGGATGGCTTCTTTTTGTGAAGAAAACATGCACTTATATTAGAGCGTTGCAAGGAGCCCCACCTCTGGTCTCCTGGATCTGATCATCAGGAGTATCACACAAACTGTTCTTACAACGGGCAGATCCAGAGATATTTAGATATTTAGAGTATTATCTTAATTCCAAATTATCTTTGTTGACCCATTCTCCATTCTTGACCGTCTTCTGACAGAAAAATTTGATGCCCATCAATGTAAACTTGAAAAATTCTGACCGTCTTCCGGAAAAACCCAGACCACAGACTCGTCCGCCCCTGCCTAAAACCTTGGCACAGTCAGCTGTATGCACTCAATTTGCTATACGAGTTCAGAAATATAAAACTTATTTTGATTCTGTTCTTTTTGCTTTTAACTTTATTTGTACAGTGGCAGCTTAGAATGGTTTATTCTACACCTGCAGAATCAGTTTTAAGATCCATCTACAAATCAAGGAGTGGCCTGTGAAATCTAATGGGTAGAACAGATATACACACATAATATACACACATTCCAGACATCAAAGTGGGCCTTAGTTCAACATCTCCACTTTTGAAGTATTATCTTAATTCTGAGAAAATATGTGTTTTTAAGTTGGCCTCTTACATATACACATCCTAAAAAAAACCATTTAAGTGCAGTGTACAGATATTCAGTTAAAACATAAAACCATTAAAAATAAAAGCTGTCAATTTTCTAGTCTTACCAGAGTCATCAATTTATAACCGATGCACTTCACAATTCTAACATATAAAATAGGTGCATGATCAAATGTGAATAACCACTTCCCATATCTAAATAGGAAAAATAATTACACCACAAAAATGTTTAGCCTGTGAGAAGTCTTCATGCTGAATTTGACTAATAAAAGATAAGCAGACAGCCACATCTAAGTCTACATTTTATGCAAAATATTTGCACAACATACAGAACTGAAAATATATCGCATTAACAAATTTCTAATCATTACACTATCTATGGCACAAGAAAAGCTTGTTTATCTAGTCTTGGGTCCTAACAGCTTCATGACATATACATGTAGTGCTACTTAAAACCACTGTCTTCATATAATAACTTCACAATTTATATTTCACCATGAGTGACTGCCTCTTATATTCATGGCGTGAGGTTAATTTGCTTTCTGTGTATAATGATTTTCCTTCTGCATCATCTGTCTTTTAGAAATTCACCTTTGGTAGGAATTATGCACATAGTCTAGTCAAGCTTAGTTCATAATGCGGTAATTGCTTATTATCAAACAAAGTGGATGAATTATATTTTTCAAAAAGACAAGTTTTTTTTTGTTTTATATGTCACCTTCATTACCTGGTTCTAATGCTCCGAAAAACAATGCAAGCTGGGTAATTTCTAGAGAGTATATTATTGTGAGGTATTAAAGGTAATAAAACTTGACAAAAAAAGTATTGGAGCAAGTCCTGTGTTTGTAGTTTGTGCGTAATTTCCATTAGGGTAATAGTCAGATGAATAGACATGGCAGACCTGGAATATACATTTATGCACAGAAAAGGTGACAGCATTAGCATGGAACCACTACAGAGGCAGGTGACACATGAAAGAAAGCCATGACTCATTACTTGTATGAAAAATATTTTACATGTAACAGCAGAGATTGTACAGTCATGTTTTTTTTTTCTTAATAACATAAATCTACCGGCACAAGATACGTTGCCTTTTCATTCAATACACCACAAAAACATGATCCAAGTCATTTTGTTCTTTTTCCTTCAAATTCTGTTAAGGCATTGGTATAATTCCTCCTCATGTATATGTCTGGCTGTAGTGTAGAATTAAACTGGTCTTGAGCTCAATGAAGTTTATTCTGTGATTCACTTCATTCTTGCTGCATGCCCAAATTGAGACAGACCAGAATCGCAGAAGAGATTTTCTTCTATAGCTTTATTCGACTCTCAACGATATGAGAGATGCAGAACAGAAATCCCTATCCATTGGTATTCTGTGGTCTACTTATGCTACTGTTAGTTGTCATTGCTAATAACTCCCACCTGAAAGAAAGAACACTTTCTATAAAATAATGATTGTATAACAACCATAAATTCATTCCTCACGGTTTCACGATTAATGTTTCCATGTTAAATTTATTGGATGGTGAGTTGCATTTTTATATCTGTACAAAACCTTAGGGTGTACATGGGCCGAAGCTGTCCATTTTTTTCTGACATGCTTCCAAATATTTATATGTAAAGTTAAATAATATATAAAATAAACAATAACCATCTTAGATGTTGATTTAATATAATCAACAATTTCTGTTAAACAGATAGTATTGAAATAAGTTTTCTCTCATCAAAAAATCTTCTTTAAATCATTTGCATTAAAAACAGAAATAGACTTCACTTTTAAGTTTGAATTAAATTGTGGTTAGCTGCAGTTATTTTTTTTCTGCCATTAACGCCTTTATTGGTGCATTACTATGATTTCATCACAGGATGCTAATCATTTAAACCAAGAGGCTTCAAAAAACCAATTTGAGGAGAAACGAGAAAGTTTTGCCATAAGGTTTTTTCTATGGAAATGATTGATTTTTTAATATTCATAAAAAATTAATATTCTTAGAAATTTTCATCTTATCTGGTAATTTATACAACCATGTCTTTAATATGAACTAACATTTATTGTAAAAAAATTTACAGTAAGTCCGAGTTCACTTTTTTTTAACAAACATTTCAAACTAACTGTTACCTGGAAAATGCCTTGCAGCATGAGACTCTATACTAATACAATTTCACACTGAGAGCATTGGTGGTTTTACCTTATATCCTCCGGCAGGCAGGAAGTATCTATCTGAGACTTTAGTGCTATCAAGGCACACAGGGTTTTCAGGGAGGGCACTGAAAAAAATGTGCAATAAAAAATGGAGTTAATTACCAAACAAAATAAATCTTGGTGATTTTTACTGCTGAATCAAGAATTTAGTTTCTGAATTAAAACAACTTGTGAATGTGAATACATGAAGTGGTTAACAATTAAACATATTGGTTTGCTTACCAAAATCAAGGACATACAAGTCAGAATGGTCCATGAGCTCAAACTCTGTATTAACCATTTCTTCTTCATCAAACTCAGGGTTTGGACTGCAATTGACAAACTGAGAATGTCAGAATCTTTCAGAAATCAAAGTGAGTCTTGCCTTAGTCTTGAGATTGAACAAATATTTAGGCAAATAATAACTATAATAAAATTACAATTATGGTCAACCAAAAATAAGCTTTAAAATTGTGGCTTCTTTAAATTTCTGGTTGTGAATTTGACCCATTTATCCCTCCCAACAATTTGTAAAAGTTTATCTAAATAACGTACATGTAGTTAAGTATGACACATTACTGCCGTGTATGCATTAGCTCAATAATTCAAATGAGAGTTGGCAAAAATGACTGAGCATTAGCAAAGAAAGAAAACAGGAAATATCTGTTCCAATATTATTTTTCAGCAAGTATGAAACAATAACCTTTGGTTTGTCTTTATGTTAAGCTATTTGATATATATGGTGGCATTTGGTCTGGTTTAGTGGCAATTTGACATGCCAACTCGCCTCAAATGTATCTTAATGATCTAAAGGCTAGAAATTCCAAGAGAACCTCTTAGCCCTGAAGTCTAAATTGTCTGTCATATAACACACCAAATAAATATTGCCAATAAATGTCAACTTTATTCCTATATATTCTCCATGACTATCATTTATTAATGCAGACAGAAAAACATTTTTGAATTCCACGTTCTCTTGGATGCACAACAGTGTTTTTAACCATTTAGTAGATGACATAAAATAACAGATACGGATGTTTCAGTGTTGCCTGTAGCTACATAATGACGTTAATATCATCATACATAGTTACATTACTTAAATGTGGATCCCTAGGCAAAGGCTTATTACAATGCTGACACCCTGAATTTCAGACATAATTTGAACTCCCACCACTATAGATAGTACCTCTGTCTTTCCTCTTATTTCTTTTACTGCAGAAAGTTTGAATCACTATACAATTTTCAATATATTTAATAATAAATATGTTTTGATGAACATCAATTACTTGAACATGATTTTGAGTTGTTGGAACACTGTAGGAAGAAATGAATCAGTGGAAATTATGACTGTGGTTCTGAAAGCCCACTTAAGTTGGAAAAATGGTATTAAAAAAAAACAACTTATTTCTGCCTTTCCATATTAAATAAGAAAAAAAAATCATGTCTGATTACTAAGTCTTTTGTTTATCATTTATAAAATGCCAGCTGAGGGTCCACAGATGGGTAATTGATGAAATAAGTCTGGATCAGACTAGTGTTGTATAACTCAGGGTAGCTACATGCGTCTAGCAGCTAAATCATCTTGGAAGCTGACACATTCCATGTATGCCCAAAGATGGGGGTAAACAACAGCCACAAGAAAACAATTATAGTTATTTCTGTATGAAAGATTGGTAGACAACAATAACAAGAACAACAAAAAAGACTCACTTTAAAGTTTAAAGACAAACCACTCTCAAATATATACTTTATGGCTTTCCCTACAATTACTTTATTTTTCACACATTTGGAAAAAATTGATTTTTTAAATGTTTGACAAGTAGACTCAATTTTGTTTTCTATTACTGTGTTATTAGGCTATGTCTTTTCATTGACGTAATTCTAACAATTAACAAGGCAGAAAAGCTGTCAGCTGAACAGACAAATAAAAATGACAAAAGCCTTGCCATGAAAACAGATGACTGCCATTAATGAGAACTTGGAAGGGTACACAGAGTTGGGCAAAAATTGGAGGATAAAAGGAATTCTACTGGAAAAGACAATAGGGGCTAAAGAGGTTAATAAATTGTCTTTTACACTGGTTCAGAAAAATATCAATGGGACGTAAATATAGTGGCTCCTATGGGTGATCCTACTCTGCTTGGTTTAATTTTTCTTAACAGGGAAGATTAATCAGTCTACAGACACTCCTGAGATACATGGTATTACAATATCTGCCCAATCCAGGTAAGAAGGCTCTAGTATTAATCGTGTGGTTTTCAGTATAAAGATTAGTGTACCTCACAACTGTTAAAGGGATAACAACTGTTCGTATGATATCCATATTCCATAATAAACACATTATAAACAACTCATAGAAATTAATAAATTCTATTTTACCTCCAAAACAGTGGTTAACGCAATTATTCTGGAATTTTTGCTTGCCATCACATCACGTGACCTCCATAGATGGCTACACTCTGTAATAATCTCTTAGGAGAATATTACAAAAAACAAAATTTTTAGATGGACTAATGTTGGAATGGATTCATTAACCACTGGTAAGTATGGGAAAACTGTTCTTTACTCCAAGAAAATCCATTTTTTGGCCAAAATGAACAACTGTTATCCCTTTAAGTACAGGTAGGACTGAATACAAACCAAAATGCACAAGGAGACTTTATCAACAAAACTGCTTACAAAATGTGTCAATCTAAGAATTCAAGAACTGCATGGAAAGGACCATATGTAATAATTGACAAGGAGGTTGTTTTTGTCCTGTTAGTTTGTGTGTTTGTTGGTTTGTCTGTTCGCAGCATGCAAAAGGTCTGGGAAGGATGTTCATAAAATTCCATGGTGTGTCAGAGGTAGTCCAAGGAAGAAAAGATTTGATGTTGAACATGGATATGGATAACCACTGAAACATGCTCTGTGTCAAAGCTACAAAAGCAATAATAAAATACGGCTTGACCTGTGGTATATGTCGCAGATATTATTTGCAAGCTGACATCATCGTGTCACAGGCATACCAACTCTGCATCGGAGCTACGTAAGTAGTGATAATTTAGTCACACATACATTGGATCTCTTGCTGCATTGGATTGAATGCTTTTTAAATTTTTTTTACATATTGATAACTTTCTTGAAAGTGAAATGTCAATTTATTATTTATTATTTCTTACAGGTAAATGCCTTGGCAGAGGTTTGCCACTGCTGAGTGCTTAAATTTTAGTTTTATATGAAATTCTAGATTCATACATGTATAAGGTGATACATCATGATCTAAAAATGATCTTCCTACACAAAGCATGACTACGACAACTACAAGAAGAGGATTCAAAGTTATCCCAACAATAGGATGTGCTTAACCATATAAACCTGAGACTCGACTTGAGACAATTAGTTTTGTTCATTATTGTTTATCGTGTGTGTGTGTGTGTGTGCATGTGTGTGTATGCATGTATATTTCATTTGCATAGTTTTTAGCACATTTAAGCAAGTTAGTCATGTGCTACAAAAATGAATTGTACATAAGTATATTTCATAGCAAGTATGCTAGTTATAGTGAAACCAACAGTGAAATAAATTTAGAATGGGGAATATAAGGATGTTAGCTAGTAGTTCAGTGGTGGGTTGTTAGGTACAGTAATATAAAGGATTTATCCTAGTCCAGTGTAGTAAGCAAAAACCCACTCGTAACATGTTGCTTAAGGAAGGAAACACACTGGTGCTGTTTTTGTAGTTAATGCTGGTCTGGTCTAATATGAATGTACAATAGTGGTATTTAAAACCCCACCATTGATGCACAGAAGAAGGAAAATTAAATGTCTCATGTCGTTATATGATTCGGGATTAAGATCTTTCATTACTGTGTTTTCAGGAAATGTGGTAATTTCAAATGTTTAATAAAAATGTCACTATATTGTATGATCTAGGAAGTGCTTGGCAACTGTGCCTTCACAGCTTGGAGTGACAAACAAATATCAACTTATTACCATAAAGGTAGAACTTTCATAAATATGCAATGACTATCTCACTGGACAGAATCCAAGTCCTATTTTCTTTAGTTTCCATGGGGTACAAGTTATGTAACAATAATTTAATGAAAAGTACTTCCACAGAGACCATGTTTATGACCGGAATAAGCAATGATGCTTCATAACACAGTGATTTAATGGTCCATAAATGGCTTACAGTCTGGGTTTAATTTCACACCACAGAACCCATTAAAGCATCAATAAAAAACAAATTAAGGTTCTATAAAGTTCTAATCCTGTTCAACCTTACATGCAAGGAATAACCAAGCAGTGGAAATGTTACTGCTATTATCTGCCAATACAGATATTTTTGTGCAATCACAAGCAAGCGAAAATGACCAATTAATTAATACAGTCTGCTATCCCACAAATATACTCTATACATTTAAAGTAAAAATAAACTCAGTTCTTGTATATGGCAATCACCTGCATCTTGGTGCAGTTTGAATGAGAAACCTGGTCATTTTTGGCCCTGACACAGATAGCTAGGGTGCTGACATTTTAACCTCCCTGTTGAGGATACAGCCCAGCTGCCTTCTGAGACACTGAAAGCTAACATACAAACATCTTTTACTGCCAGACCAGGAACTTAACCCCTGCATCAAACCCTAAGTACTGACTGCCAAGCAGGGATAGGTAGGTCTCTGGATGGGGTTAAATAACCCATGTTCCCCTAGAGGTGGACAATCTGAAAGACCATCCAGTTGGTGGATATGCCACAAAAATTAGATGAAATCATTTCTTTGCCAATAGAGAGATATCTTTGTATACAAACAAGCTGTGATTGAAATTATGAATTTAGTCTTAAAAAGCTTAAATGTGAACCCACCCACCATCTGCTACAGAAACTTACCTTGTACCTCCAAATAAAAACAGTCTATCTCCTACAACACAGCAACACTGCCGCCTCCTGGCACAAGGTCCATCACCTATACACTTCACTAAGGACCAATGACAAGTATCTGAAACACAAAAAATGGTTGTTAACATAACAAAGCATCTCCTCACATTTCCCTCTTGATCTGGCTGAGGCCAAGATCTGGCTGAGGCTCCAGTCCAATTTTTAAAAGGGTCTATTCCATTAATTTAAAAGGACATTCTCTACTGAATAAACCACATTACTGTGCCACCAGCGTGAGTGCTGGAGGTACACATGGTTTAAGTCCTGACCCGTTTCATCAAAAAAATTTCATCTGTCTTTATCGGAAATACAATACAACTAGTTAAAAAAAAGCCTAGTCTTGACCCTCATTATGCTTCAAATAATGGGTTATAATCCAAGAATAAGTATTACTTCACATCCATTTATATAATTTTTTTAATACCTAAGTTAATGTCCTCTGTAATTTTCTTTAATCATGCCAAGCATTTATTTACCTAATAAAATATAGAAATAGCTAGAGCATATTTCATGTATGGAAAACATACGTTAACCATTTCTTAAATCACAAATACTTTGAAATCAAGCACTATACAGCATATTGTCCTCTTTTGCACTTTTCTGTTAGCTACAATGATTTATCATAGTACCAGTGTCATACCTTGCTAAATATCAAAAATAATGAAAACCTGCCTCATGTTTTTACTATCTACTTAATGACCTCGGGCTCCCTTTGAACCAGACATGATTTATGTAAAACTAGCTTAGAACCACCTTAACGATTACATACTATGGAAGACCTTGAAATGGCAACCTAAACTGAGGCAGAGCTTTTAAAAAAGTTCAAAATGAGCCAATTGGAGAAAAATGGATTCAAAATAAAAATTTCAACTTCAATATGCAAATGTTTGTGGATCCCTGACCAAATAAGTTCCTGCAATTGTGAACAAAGCTTCTTACTTGTGTACTATCAATTACCTCTTCAGGTGCACTTCCTATAAGCAAATCTTATCCTCCAGACTAATCTTCAATAAATCATCTCCAGTTGTCAAAGAAAAAAGCAGTCACACGTTGACCATATCAAGTACATCTATCTTACAACATGAAGGGATAAGAAGAGCATGTCTATTCTGTCTAAATTTTTATACCAAGGCTTTTGAGAAAAATTGGAGACCATGCTATCCTGCCTGTTTTTTCATGTATTTGTAATTTGCATCATTTCCTCTGTGGCCATTAAAGTGAGGAGTGCATAAACTTTGGGGGAACAACATACCTATTGTCAGGGATAGACATTGTGCACAGAATTTTGGTGTGCTGAGCTGCGTTGTCCCTGGGGGCTGGATGATATTATTTTTTTAAATACATTTAATTTCTAGAATCTCCTCCTAGACCAAAAGAGTGAGGAGGTTGGAACCTATCAGAAGGATCTGCATGGGCAGAAAAGGTAGAAAAGAAAACATGATCTGGTATTATTCAATTTTTGTATCAATTTTAGCAACCCAAAGGTCTTCTTTCAGTGGTTCTTATACATACACAAACAAACATACACACACACACATGAAATAATGACACAGAACAACAGCATACTTCAAAGAATACACTTGCTTTAGGCCATCATTTCTTTTCTCATATCAAAGCTAAAAATATCTAAATAAGTTTGCTTACAACCAAAAACATCAGATGGCATTTATAACGCATTCCCAACGAATTAAGCGAGGCTTTACAAA